TCATATACCTTTTCATGAGAATTCAGTGCCCTAGTTAGATTGTCTGTGGTGTTTCAATATCATCCATCCTCACACCCAAGTCACATTTCAGATCCACAATCTTCTGCTTATAATATGTTGAACATTTTGCTCAAAATTAGTTTTAGTGAGCAGTGCTTTTATAAAAGACTTTTGGAGCAGACAGTCTATCAGAGTCGGGGAATGGGGGACAGGGGGGTTGGCATGGCATTCCTACTGTGAGGAGGAGGAAGCTGATGGTGCTATATTGGGGAGTTGTTTCTGTTTGCCCTGTTTAGCAGCGGCAGAGGAGCAAGAAAAGCACTGCTAAATCTTGCTGGATGCCAATCCCCCTTCACCTTGCTTCTCCTCCTGAGGCCACTACTTGCTCATTCTGGCATTCTGTGTGGGTTAAAAAGGCAGCTGAGGAATGCTGATGAGGTGAAAGGGACTGGGAGCCACTGCTCTGAGCATTCTATTCCGCCATGGACCAAACCATGCCCCCCAGTTCCACATGATTTCTGAATGTTTGCCAACATACATTATTTTTAGCTGTGTATGTATACAAGTTATGTTTTATGGCTTAGTGGGTTCTGTGTGTAGAGAGAGATTGATGCACAGCTCACGCATTGATTTATCAGTTGTGACTCCCACAAGGCAGTCTGTGATTAATTTAATTCTAGATAGTCAGGCAAAATTATTGGTTTATATCCCTAAAGTGTTAAGACAAATTAGAAATGTTTCTGGCATTTATATTAACACTATCACAATAGTTTTCCCCAAGGCACATACATAAAGGGCATGTAGTGCAGCCAACATTTTGTAAGGTACATGTTGTCATTGGATTAATGATACAAAATAACTAGAACCACAGTTAATGGATTGTGAAATGTTATGTTGTTATCTAGTGACAGATTAAATAAACTTCTTACAAACATTATGTACTTGACAGTATCTGCAAATGTTCACTTGACAGCATAAAGAACCCAGGCAAAACAACCAGGTCCTCTTACAGGAGCTAGATTTCCAATAGCTGGGTGAGAGTAGAGAGCCTAAAGTGTGGGCATGGCAGCTTGAGAAACAGCAACCCTTAGACAAAATGTCATGTTATTGTCTCTCTGAGTAAAGAATGGGAAAATAACTCTTAATGAGTTAAGAGTTAACTCTTAATCATTTTCAATAGAGCATGTTGTTACAAATGTAGTACTTTTCTTGTGTTTATATATATATATGTGTAGCTCTATTTCTACAAAAGGACAAAAAGGTCACTCCTTTGTTTCTTAACAGCAACAATAAACCCCCTCTCAATACAGCACTTGTGGTATCCTCTTTGTTTGAGTCTCTTCCTAGTGATATTACACTGTCCATTAAAGTGTTACTAAACCCACAATAGTAAAATGAGTCTGTATCAGTAAGGCATGCTTGTTATACTCACTGTGGAACTTAAGAGGTTAATCCTCTGCACTGTGTAAAAAGGATGTTTAATCCTGTCTTTTCTAATGCTCCCCTTCCTCTACTGTCCCCGACTCATCTCCTGATAAAACAGAGCCTTGGGGGCAAGCTGCATATGCTAGGTTTGGTGTGTATTACTAGAGAGTTTTTTTTCTTTTAGAGAGTGCATGTGATCAGCTCAGGACCAATCAGCACTGTCCAGACAGAGGGTCAGAGGTCCTGCAGTCTCATAGGACAGTGAGAGGAGAATGAAAACTCCTCCAACAAGCTTTGACCAGTGCTCTGCTGGACACTGATAGAAGTCACAAGACTGTTCTAGCTGCTGATGATAAAAGGTATTTAGCAGTTTATATTTACTAAAATAATTGCGTTTTCATGTTCTGTGTACTGTGGGTAACCAGATAGAGTGAATGCAGGGTCCTGAGTTTAGTAACACTTTAAAGATTTCATCTGTAGAACAGTTTCTTTTAGCCCTCAAAAACTCACCTACAGGAATGGATTTTTTAGTACGGGTTGGATGGCAACTACTAGCCAATAAAGTGGCATTACTTGCACAGCTTTTCCTGTAGGTTTTTGTGATAACAGTAGCTGCAGCTAAATTTCCTTCCAAAGTGACACTCATGAAATTTATAATTTTTATAATCACTGGTAAACTTTAAGTTTAGTTCATTATCATTTAATATAACTCAAAAACAAATCAGTGTTATTGCAGTCATTGATCCATATAATCAGTAAATTATCGGAATCTATCACACCAATTTAACTGATCAAAAAAATGGTTACTGTAAGAAACATTTTTACAAATTCTTCCCACTACCCCATATAAAGATTTGCTGATGAAGGAGAAGATTTCACTCCCATTAATGCACTACAAAGCTGTAATAATAAATGCCATCAAACAAAAAGAAATTATGGGTTAATAACAATTCAACACAACAATGCAAGTAATCCTATTGTTCCTCAGAATATGTACTGTGCTACTTTAGATGGTATTTGAAAGCTTCAACTGCTAATGTATGTGGTAGTCCAGAATACAGTGCTGGAACATCCAGTGTTATGCAAATGAAATCCTGTATCCAACATACATCCTATAATACCATCCGTGGGTCCCTAATTTAACCAGGAAACCTCTGGACCAGGTGATAAAGATGGAAACCAACCCACTCACCCAGAGGCTTAAGAAGGGATCCTATTCCTGCAACTATTGACCATTCCCTGCACAGGGGAACCTGGCTGGTGGATTCTGTGCAAATGATGAAATACCGCAGTTACCTGATCACTAACTGACAAATATTCTGCTGTTTTTGGATTAAGTACTCAATTCCTCAAGACAACACAGAAAATTCAGAATCAGATAAAGAAAAGAGACAAATTAACCACAATATTTTTTGTATTTTTTACAGTCCCCTTGTCTGTGATTTCTTGTGTCTAGGGTATCTTTTTATCCTGCCGGCTTGTAATAGCTCAGAAGGGGATCATTTTTGCAGTGTTTCTACAATTCCCTTCCTGGGAGAAAACTGAGCCAAATTAACTTCTTCAGAGCAAGACAGAATGCAGTACCCTTGCAGAATTCTAGTCCCATCCGCTCCATTCATATACTGTACAATAAGTTGTTTATAATCATTCACATCCTATAAATATTTGGACCTTTTTGTATCCATAATTTCTTTCTCCAAATTCTCTTTTGATTTATGTAATTTTTTTGTTCAAGTCACCATATATCTGTAGGTGTGCAAACTTATCAAATAAAATGTTATGATTTTACGGTTTAACTTCTAAGTACATTCTTTGATTACAAGCTGCTCAGGCCCTAAAACAGCAAAGCAATCCCAAACCATAATGTTTCCACCATGCTGATTTGCAGATGGCATGAGGTTATTTTCCTGAAATGCTGTCTTTACTTTGCAGCAAACATGTCTACCAGCTCTGTCTTTGATCATTCTTCAGCACATTGTATACTGTACGTGTACTTGCAAACTGTAATTATGCTCTAATGTTCTTTTTTGACAGCAAATACTTTTTCTTACATGCCTCTCATGCAGGTATAATTGGTGCAAGCTTTCTGAATGTAGATGCATGCACGTGATGAAAGTAAGGGGTTCTTGGAGACTTCTTTTATCATCAAATGGTCTACTCTGGATGGAATTTGCTGAGTCTGTCAGTCATGGACAAACCAGTGATCATTTGAAGTCTATGCTAGTTGTAAATTATTTCCTTACAATAGAGTGATTGATTTCAAATCAATTGGTGATCTTTTAAAATTATTCTTTTTCATCTCTCTTTCCGAGAGACTTAGAGAGGTCTGATGATTTTGGCACGATGACACTGCACACATAAATAGCGAAAAACATCAGGCCCTAGTTACAGTATCTGAGGTTTAGATAAGACAAGTTCCATGCTCATACCCCATAAGGATTACAATTTCATGGATCTTAAATAGGAGTGTACTTATTTTTTCCTTAAACAAATCAGTATTTTTGTTAATTTCCACCATGAAAATTAGAGATGAGCGAATTATTCAAAAATTCGATTCGACTGATTCGGCGAATTCGTGAAAAAATTTCGATTCGAGTCGAATATATTCGCTGCGAATTTAACTTATAAAAGGGTGTTTCTAGGCTTCAGAGAGCCTTTATATTAGTGCAGAACACTGTACCTTTAATTTAAATGCCCTTGGAGTCTGCTGGGGAAGAGAAATAATACTGACAGTCAGTATGACATGCAGATGAGTGCCGTCGATCTTAGAATCACCGCACACTTCACTCATTTGGGCAGTCACGGGGCCAAAACCAGAGTGTGGAGCCACAGTGTGGCGGTGGAGGCAGCAGCAATGGGAGGCCATACAGCACCCTATGACAAAAATGGAAACCACCAGCAGTGTGAGGAGACCTGAAAGTGGCACATGGCAGAGTGTGGCGATGGAGACAGCAGCAATGGGAGGCCGTACAGGGACCCATGACACACTCTGGACCTGGCAGCAGCATGAGGAGGCGGTACAGGGGCCCATGACAGATTACGGGCCTGGCAGCAGCATGAGGAGTTGGTACGGGGGCCCATGGCAGATTACGGGCCTGGCAGCAGCAATGGGAGGCCGTACAGGGACCCATGACACACTCTGGACCTGGCAGCAGCATGAGGAGGCGGTACAGGGGCCCATGACAGATTACGGGCCTGGCAGCAGCATGAGGAGTCGGTACAGGGGCCCATGACACACTCTGGACCTGGCAGCAGCATGAGGAGGCGGTACAGGGGCGCATGACAGATTACGAGCCTGGCAGCAGCAACTTGGACAGGAGGACGTTCAGCTTCTGCACCGTCGGGTGCGTGCTCGCAAACTGTTGTCTCTTGGAAACGGATTCCAAGAAAGACTGCTGACGGAATCCGTGAAGAGGAGTAGCAGGAGAAGGAGCATCTGAACGAGCGGAATATGCCAACAAGCGACAACAGGGGCCCATGACAGATTACGGGCCTGGCAGCAGCATGAGGAGTCGGTACGGGGGCCCATGGCAGATTACGGGCCTGGCAGCAGCAATGGGAGGCCCGTAATCTGCCAGCACCCTATGACAAAAAATGGAACACACCAGCAGTGTGTGAGGAGACCTGAAAGTGGCACATGGCAGAGTGTGGCGATGGAGACAGCAGCAATGGGAGGCCGTACAGGGACCCATGAGAGACTGTGGACCTGGCAGCAGCATGAGGAGGCGGTACAGGGGCCCATGGCAGATTAGGGGCCTGGCAGCAGCTATGGGAGGCCCGTAATCTGCCAGCACCCTATGACAAAAAATGGAACACACCAGCAGTGTGAGGAGACCTGAAAGTGGCACATGGCAGAGTGTGGCGATGGAGACAGCAGCAATGGGAGGCCGTACAGGGACCCATGAGAGACTGTGGACCTGGCAGCAGCATGAGGAGGCGGTACAGGGGCCCATGGCAGATTACGGGCCTGGCAGCAGCAATGGGAGGCCCGTAATCTGCCAGCACCCTATGACAAAAAATGGAACACACCAGCAGTGTGAGGAGACCTGAAAGTGGCACATGGCAGAGTGTGGCGATGGAGACAGCAGCAGCATGAGGAGGCGGTACAGGGGCCCATGGCAGATTAGGGGCCTGGCAGCAGCAATGGGAGGCCCGTAATCTGCCAGCACCCTATGACAAAAAATGGAACACACCAGCAGTGTGAGGAGACCTGAAAGTGGCACATGGCAGAGTGTGGCGATGGAGACAGCAGCAATGGGAGGCCGTACAGGGACCATGAGACACTCTGGACCTGGCAGCAGCATGAGGAGGCGGTACTGGGGCCCATGGCAGATTACGGGCCTGGCAGCAGCAATGGGAGGCCCGTAATCTGCCAGCACCCTATGACAAAAAATGGAACACACCAGCAGTGTGAGGAGACCTGAAAGTGGCACATGGCAGAGTGTGGCGATGGAGACAGCAGCAATGGGAGGCCGTACAGGGACCCATGAGAGACTCTGGACCTGGCAGCAGCATGAGGAGGCGGTACAGGGGGCCCATGGCAGATTACGGGCCTGGCAGCAGCAATGGGAGGCCCGTAATCTGCCAGCACCCTATGACAAAAAATGGAACACACCAGCAGTGTGAGGAGACCTGAAAGTGGCACATGGCAGAGTGTGGCGATGGAGACAGCAGCAATGGGAGGCCGTACAGGGACCCATGAGAGACTCTGGACCTGGCAGCAGCATGAGGAGGCGGTACAGGGGGCCCATGGCAGATTACGGGCCTGGCAGCAGCAATGGGAGGCCCGTAATCTGCCAGCACCCTATGACAAAAAATGGAACACACCAGCAGTGTGAGGAGACCTGAAAGTGGCACATGGCAGAGTGTGGCGATGGAGACAGCAGCAATGGGAGGCCGTACAGGGACCCATGAGAGACTCTGGACCTGGCAGCAGCATGAGGAGGCGGTACAGGGGCCCATGGCAGATTACGGGGCCTGGCAGCAGCAATGGGAGGCCCGTAATCTGCCAGCACCCTATGACAAAAAATGGAACACACCAGCAGTGTGAGAGAGACTGAAAGTGGCACATGGCAGAGTGTGGCGATGGAGACAGCAGCAATGGGAGGCCGTACAGGGACCCATGAGAGACACTGTGGACCTGGCAGCAGCATGAGGAGGCGGTACAGGGGCCCATGGCAGATTACGGGCCTGGCAGCAGCAATGGGAGGCCCGTAATCTGCCAGCACCCTATGACAAAAAATGGAACACACCAGCAGTGTGAGGAGACCTGAAAGTGGCACATGGCAGAGTGTGGCGATGGAGACAGCAGCAATGGGAGGCCGTACAGGGACCCATGAGAGACTCTGGACCTGGCAGCAGCATGAGGAGGCGGTACAGGGGCCCATGGCAGATTACGGGCCTGGCAGCAGCAATGGGAGGCCCGTAATCTGCCAGCACCCTATGACAAAAAAATGAAACACACCAGCAGTGTGAGGAGACCTGAAAGTGGCACATGGCAGAGTGTGGCGATGGAGACAGCAGCAATGGGAGGCCGTACAGGGACCCATGAGAGACTCTGGACCTGGCAGCAGCATGAGGAGGCGGTACAGGGGCCCATGGCAGATTACGGGCCTGGCAGCAGCAATGGGAGGCCCGTAATCTGCCAGCACCCTATGACAAAAAAATGGAACACACCAGCAGTGTGAGGAGACCTGAAAGTGGCACATGGCAGAGTGTGGCGATGGAGACAGCAGCAATGGGAGGCCGTACAGGGACCCATGAGAGACTCTGGACCTGGCAGCAGCATGAGGAGGCGGTACTGGGGCCCATGGCAGATTACGGGCCTGGCAGCAGCAATGGGAGGCCCGTAATCTGCCAGCACCCTATGACAAAAAATGGAACACACCAGCAGTGTGAGGAGACCTGAAAGTGGCACATGGCAGAGTGTGGCGATGGAGACAGCAGCAATGGGAGGCCGTACAGGGACCCATGAGAGACTCTGGACCTGGCAGCAGCATGAGGAGGCGGTACAGGGGCCCATGGCAGATTACGGGCCTGGCAGCAGCAATGGGAGGCCCGTAATCTGCCAGCACCCTATGACAAAAAATGGAACACACCAGCAGTGTGAGGAGACCTGAAAGTGGCACATGGCAGAGTGTGGCGATGGAGACAGCAGCAATGGGAGGCCGTACAGGGACCCATGAGAGACTCTGGACCTGGCAGCAGCATGAGGAGGCGGTACAGGGGCCCATGGCAGATTACGGGCCTGGCAGCAGCAATGGGAGGCCCGTAATCTGCCAGCACCCTATGACAAAAAATGGAACACACCAGCAGTGTGAGGAGACCTGAAAGTGGCACATGGCAGAGTGTGGCGATGGAGACAGCAGCAATGGGAGGCCGTACAGGGACCCATGAGAGACTCTGGACCTGGCAGCAGCATGAGGAGGCGGTACAGGGGCCCATGGCAGATTACGGGCCTGGCAGCAGCAATGGGAGGCCCGTAATCTGCAGCACCCTATGACAAAAAATGGAACACACCAGCAGTGTGAGGAGACCTGAAAGTGGCACATGTTTGGGGCATGATTCATGGCGGATTTAGTCAGTTGTGTCAGGAACTGGTGGTTTGAAATCCAGACTAATCCACGCCTGATTCATTTTCACAAACGTGAGTCTCTCCACACTTTGGGTGGACAGTCGTGTCCTCCCGCGGAGTTACAATACCTCCTGCCGCACTAAACACGCGCTCCGATGCCACGCTACTGGCCGGGCATGACAGCCTTTCAAAGGGCAAATTCAGCTAGTTGGGGCCAAAGGTCAAGTTTCGTTGCCCAGTAGTCAAGGGGATTGTCTACCTCGGTTGGCAGGGTGCTGTCCAAGTAGGCCCAAGCCTGTTGTTTGAGGTCCTGCTCCAGGTCCACCTGATGCTGCTGCTGCTGCGGCTGGTTAGTAGTTTCCTCACTGCGCTGGTGAAGAAAGCTACTCATCATCGACTGCAGACTGAGGCAGCCGCTGCTGGTGGAGCTGCCACTGCTCCTACCACCCCACCCCACCCCTCCCCTGCTGCCATGGCAGCGGAACGCGAGCGCACAGGGCCCACAGTGTCTGAGGATGGACGTTGGCGCAGAAAGGCAGAGACCAACTGACTACATAGGTGGTTTTTATAGTACGTTATTTTGGCCTCCCTCTCAGCAGGTGTGAAAAAGGCCACCATTTTTGAACGGTAGCGAGGGTCCAACAAGGTGGACAGCCAAAAGTCATCCCTCTGTCTGATGGTTATTATTCGGCTGTCGCTACGCAAGCAACCGAGCATGCTATGGGCCATTTGTGCCAAGGAATGCGAGGGACTCCCTGCCTCCATCTCCACAGCATACTGCCACGGTGCGTCTGGGTCCTCTGTCTCCTCCTCCTCCTCCTCTACCAGATGCTCCTGCTCCTCCACTCCTGTCCGCTGAGTGGAAAAACCACCCATTTCACTCAATAATTCCTGAGCACAAATGTCCTCCTCTACCTCCTCCTCTTCTTCCTGTCCTGCCCCCACAGGGGTCATGTGGCGTTGAGATCTGTGCGCCACGTCTACCGCACCCTGACCAGCCATTGTTAACAGCATTTGTTCCAGGACGTGCAACAGAGGAATGACGTCGTTCATCCCATAGTCCTGCCGACTCACGAATAGCGTGGCCTCCTCAAAGGGCCTGAGCAAGCGGCAGGTGTCACGCATGAGCTGCCAATGGCTGACATCGAAGTTACACAGGGGAGTACCTTTATCCGCTTGTAACATCAGGAAATCGGTGATGGCCTTTCGCTGTTCGTAAAGGCGGTCTAACATGTGTAGGGTTGAATTCCACCTTGTTGCAACGTCGCAGATCAGGCGATGCTGTGGAATTCCGTTCTGCCGCTGCAGCTCAAGGAGGGTGTGCTTTGCGGTGTAGGAATGGCTGAAATGCATGCAAAGTTTACGTGACATTTTAAGGATGTCTTGCAGTGGGATGGTGGATTTTAGGAACCGCTTGACAACCAGATTGAACACGTGAGCCATGCATGGCGCATGGCACAACCTTCCTTGACGCAGAGCAGACACCATGTTCTTTCCGTTGTCGGTCAACATGGTTCCGATTTTCAGTTTGCGCGGAGACAGCCATCTGTCGATTTCTCTGTTCATTACACTCAGAAGTTCCTCCCCTGTGTGACTACGTTCGCCAAGGCATACCAGGTGCAGCACAGCGTGACACCGTTGCGCCCTGCACATGTGATATGCCGGTCGGGTAATGGGACTTGGCACGGGGGTGGCGGCTGAGGACACGGCGGAAGAAGAGGTGGTAGAGGCGGACATCTTTTGTGGACCAAGGACGTGCAAACGTGGAGGCAAAAGCGGCGTGACCTGTCCAAGTTGCTGGTGCGGCTGTGCCGGCACCACGTTCACCCAGTGGGCCGTAAATGACATGTACTGTCCCTGACCGTAGTTACAGCTCCACACGTCGGCGCTGCCGTGCACTTTGGCAGAGACCGACATGCTCAAAGACTGGCCCACCATCTCTTCTACATGTGAATGCAGGGCTGGCACTGCCTTTTTGGCGAAGAAATGACGGCTTGGCACTCTCCACCGCGGCGCGGCACAAGCCATCATTTCTCGGAAAGGTGCTGAGTCCACCACTTGGAAAGGGAGGGACTGCAGCACCAGCAACTTGGACAGGAGGACGTTCAGCTTTTGCACCGTCGGGTGCGTGCTCGCAAACTGTTGTCTCTTGGAAACGGATTCCAAGAAAGACTGCTGACGGAATCCGTGAAGAGGAGTAGCAGGAGAAGGAGCATCTGAACGAGCGGAAGATGCCAACGAGCGACAACTCCCCTCAGCAGAGGTGTTGGAGCCTTGACTGGCTGATAGAGGGCGATTGACGTCGGGTGACGGAGCAAGTAACGGAGCGGGTGATGGAGCGGGGGCTGGGGCAGGCAGAACCGCCGTATCTTTATCACGGTTTTCCCAGGCCACCAAATGGCGACGCTGCATATGCTGCCGCAACGCTGTAGTCCCAACATGGGCCCCCTGGCCACGCTTGACTTTCTGGCCACATAGTCGACATACGGCTACGTTTACTTCCTCGGGCGGCTTGACGAAAAATTGCCACACCGCCGAGTAGGAAACTTTGCCCCCGATACTCCTCACTGGCTGACTGAAGCGGATGTCTCCCCCCGTTCCTGAGTAAAAAAACCCGCCCCTCTGTTAGCTCTTCCTCACTGTACAGTGCTGGCTGAGCCCACAGTCAACGATACTTCGCTTGAGTCAAACACCAAAGGACAGGCGCAGTAGATGGACCCTGATTTCAGTGGGCTGCTCCCGGCAGCCCATTCTGTGCCAACTAACGTTTTTGGTGTCCCTGACGTACCCACCTATGGTCCATTGAGCTGTAGGTGTCAGAGGTGACCCTATGAAGAATCCTGAAGACGACCGATCCAACCAATTCGATGACGTCCCTGAGGACTGTCGGTGGAGTACAAGCTTCTGACCCGCTGGATGACACCGGGAGCACTGGCCTCTGGGACCCATGCAGTAACTATTGCTGTGCCCTGACCCCTTAACAGTCTGCTGCCAACGGACCCTCTGAGTAACAGATTCTGTGTCCCCTCATAAACCATTCTGTTCCCTCAGTAACAATTTCTGTGTCTCTCAGCCCTAGATCCAATTCCTGTGTCTGTCCCTGAGTAAACAATTCTGTTTCCCGGAGTAACAATTCTGTGCCCCAGTACATTCCTGTGTCCCTCAGAAAACTCGTGCCCCATTTAAAAATTCTGTTCCCTAGTAACAATTTTTGTCTGTCCCCCAGAACAATTTTTGTCCCCCAAAAAACCCGGCCCTAACAATTCGGTTTTCCCTAGTAAAAATTCTTGTTTTTTTCCCCCCCGTAACAATTCGGTCCCTCTAACAATTCTGTTCTGTCCTGAGTAACAAATTTTGTGTCCCTATTAAAAAATTCTGTGTCCCTGAA